AAAAAGAAATATTAAAAATAACAGAGACGAAAGAAGACAAAATGCTGGAATGGGATAGCTTGTCTGACAGAAGTGCAAGAAATGCCAATTAGAAATGACATAACATGTAAATCGTCTAATTAGAAAGTTATTGTAAGTTTCACATAGTGTGTTTCTCATTACTACGCCTTCTTTACACTAGTACTAAGTTATTAGTTTTAGAAATATGATACCACTAGTTATGGGAACTTAAAATGCTAAATAGGCAATGTCACTATGATGGTATAATAACTCTAATTTGCTCCTAAACAAACATGGCTGAAATATAATTTATGAAAATATTGTATTGCTGATTATAATTATACTGTTTTACCGGAGGTTGTAACATACTATACTGTACCTGAAGCTAAGGGGAAAATCACTTTGGAGGTTGAAATTTCACAAAATATATTTTAAAAAAGGAATAGTTGACCCAAATAATATATCACAGCTGGATGATTGCTTTGCTAATTTGAGAATATTAATGGGTGGTGATTTAAATCTTCGAACCAGATACCATAACTTTCTTGCTTCAGACTCAGAATCCTGAGGTAGGATTGCCCTTCCATCTTGGCTTTAGAAGACCATAATGAAACCAGAAAGACAATATCTATATTCAAATGGTGTTTTTTAGGAGGGGGAAGGGATTCCTTTTTTTGTTTGTTTAAATTGGTGGGTTTTGCCCCCATAAACAACAGAAGAATACTGAATACATTTTTGCAAGATTATATGATTTCATAAAGAGCAATCACAGCAACACATTTCAAGGGTAGCCGCATTATCATGAAATGCATTGATTTGACATAGCAGCACGTTGACATAGCACCAAGATTGTCACCAGGCAAGGACCATCAATCTATTCTGCTTGAACAAAGACCTTGTAATGTCAACATAGGGGGAAGAGACCAAATGATACAATTTGCTTGCATTCCACTTCCGTATTAAGGATTATGTTGTAATAAATCTGGTGGGGTACACAGGGATGAGTCATACAGCCTTGGGCAATGTCAGGGCTACTACGTACACTATTTCATTCTCTTTCATTATCTCCCCTTCTCATCATTTCATATTCAATAACCATTCCTGGTCAATAGCCATTTACTATACAAGGCTTTACACTTTTCACTTTTATTCATGATGCAGTAAATTCCAGAGATTCGCAGATGACTCTTTTTGCTCATTTCAAATAACATTTATTGAGCCGCCTTAAAGATCAAACATATATACATGTATGCCAAGTGATTCCTTAAATCTTGACCAGAAATGTGAATGTCATGGGTCGAAGGTATTCCTGACCAACAAGGTTTCATCTAGATATTTCTTCTCTCTACCCAGGTGCATAAGTGGGAACCAGTTCCGATGCATAAATTGTTTTTCTATAAATAGCATGTACAGTTTATACATTATCTTTATCTACAATTAACTGGCAATAATGCTCTCCACTAGATTGGAAATTGAACTACAGATGCAGAATTTAGCTTTTAAATCGAATGGCGTAGGTCATAGTACGGTTGATTATGACAATGATAACTACTACATGTACAACTACTACTTCTACAATTATTATTGTTATTGTTGTTATTATTATTACTATGAACATCATCATCATCAGCATCATTATATTATTGATGTAGTTTTTTTAATTTTATTATAATAACTGTCTGTATTATTATTATCATTGTTATCATCAACATCATCATCATTATCATAACTTTTGCAAATTCATATTTCTATTCAATTTCAAGTCAAAGCATTTTGCTTCTTCGTATTATTTCTCCATATCCAATATCTATTGAGTGAGGGAGATTGTCTGTTTTGAGCCAGAAGGGCATTTAGCTGGATTCTCTTTGGTTTAACGCATAATATACTTTAACACAGAGTAAATGCCCTTTTGGATCCACACAGATGATAAAATGAACTCTTCTTGAACTGATACGGGCTGAGATACAATCTAATAAAAATATACCTCCTCTGTACTTGAGAATCAAACTTTCATCAAAGTGTTCTCCTCCTTTTTCTGCTTCTAAACCTCTGAAATGGGAACTTAGGCAATTGAGTGGTCTTGAAGTTGTTCTTCATCAATGCAATCCTGACACAGTAACAGATGTTTGATAAGACGATGTACAATAGCGAAGGAAATTAACCGACTTCCTTACTCATTGGCAAAGGAAATAAGATTTGGTTGGGTGCTGAATGGTCTCAAACCAAGGTGAATTTGAGAGGTGGACCAAATTACAATTGGTTTCATTTTACTCTGGGCCATTGCTAATGGGGCAGTGGAACATATTAGAAAGAGAAGACGACCCTGAAGTTAAGTTGCTTGTAATAAAAGCAAAAGAATCAGAGAAACAGAACAGTGAAAGTTTGGGGAAAATCCGATTAAAAATAATAGAGTTATGAATCTTCAAATTTGTGATTGATCAAATTCAAACAGGCAACTCTATGACAAACCTTCAAGCATCTACTCTCATGTTTGCTTCGTACTGAAATGTTCATATTTTCCATTTTCACTGATCTGTTTATCTCATTTCTGCTTATATTGAAACCAGCTTAATATCGTAATGGACTTCCCTTTTAAATAAAAGATTTTTGCATATAGCCTTTCTGTTAAAACATTATAATGTACTAATCTTTACTTTAAATTGTTCAATACTATAATCGTTGATATTCTTTTGTCACGGTACTTAGCACAATATGAAAGATATCATAATGGTCTATTAGCCAGTGAGCAAATGTGTTAAGACTCTCTTTTATCACAATGAACGCCAATGGTGGTGCAGTATGTCATGATGTGCATTAGTATCAAAACATAATTAAACAACTGTTCTTTTATTTTTGTCACCTCACCTACAATATTGGTGGGTCTGATGTAATGAGGAAGCTGGGTCTACACCATGGTCAATATGCTTCATCACAGCAAGGGATCTAATGAGAAGACTATCTCCTTCATCTCATCCCCCTCGTTGGTCTACTCAATACATATTCCATGTTAACCATGAAATTCATTAAACTTCCTCTCCCTGATATTTGAATTTATAATAGCTGATGAAGGCAATGCTTACCTAAAGACCTTTGGAGAAAGAAAAAGCTCTTGAAAACATGTAATGAGGTGCAGGATATCAGACTAAATATCCAGACTAGATGTCTAATGAGGACCATCTTTCATCAGATTTACAGGCATTCCTACATCACATTCAATTTGATGTGAATAGAGATATACAAAAGAGGTAAGAGAGAGAGAGAGAGAGAGAGAGAGAGTGTGTGTGGGAGAGACATATATATATATATATATATAGGAGAGAAGGAGAAAGGTCTGGCTGAGAGGAAGACCGTTGAAGTGAGAAAGCTTAATAAGAATGAAGGGAAGGGATGTGATCTCTACAGGGAATGATAGATGGATCCAAGACGCACAGTAGGCTTCCTACCTACATTACATGCATACAATGCGCTGTTTAAAATGCCTTGGATCTTGCAGGGAGAGGAATTCATCTCTACCCCTTTTATACTAAAGATTAATCCAGTATCAGTGTGCAGTATTGGGCTATAACCTAACATGCACAAGTAACAATAATTAGAAACAAGACAGCTAATACTGTCTCCCATATGCATCTGTTTAAGTTCTAGTAATCTATAATTATCATTTAAAATTATGCCATTTTAATCACAGAAATATCATCTGTATGGAACCAGAAGGGTGCTTTCATTTAACTCAAGTACTTTACAACAGATATAACATTCTCTTTGCTTTGTATGAACAGACATATAATAAATGTATGAAGGGTTTTGTGCTGACCAGTAAAATGGTTATAGCTTATGTTTGTGCAAATTACCTAGAGGACCATGATATTTAAAATCAACATCTAATAGTTTATGAAAAAAGTAAATGGGTGACCATGCAATATTGTTTCAATATCTCAAGGTTTAGGAAAACAAATGTAAAATATAAAAAATTAAACACACATTTAAATATGCTCAGACTAAGACAATGCATATATGTTTACAACCCTTTCAAAATGATTGGATAAGGAAAGTTGTGCAATTTAACCTAACTATTCAAAATCTGATCAGTTTGTCTCCCTTTGGATAGGATACAAGTACAAAGTTTGAAATTTATGGCTGAAAAAGCCTGAAATGGTTCTCAAAATGTGGATAAAGCAAAAACAAAACTCTAATTTAATGTACATTGACCTCAGGCCTTTTGCATTTGACCTTACTCCTTAGTCAGTTTGTATTACTATGGTGATGCAATGTACCATTTGTTTCACATTCAATGTTTTAACAACAATAAAGAAGGTGTGTCAGTAACAGAATGAATGTGTGCATCCACTTGGAATAAAACTTTCTTCTAAATTCCTAGCACTTAAGCCATTGCAGCTTTCCAAAGATAAGTCTTCTGAATTTTCAAAGACATAAAACAAAACCAAAACAACAACATGAAATTACTGACATTTTGGGGATTCCTGTTTACACATTAAAAAAACAAAACAACAACTGAATTGATAAGACCTGTAAATACTTGTGATGATTCTTGTTCTTTCATTGTTAGAATAGAATATAAAAATATTGTAAATTTTTCTTTCTACTTCATGAAAAGCAATGGGATTGCCAATATCTAGAATATTCTTGTTTGACATCTAGTTTTGAATGATCACCTAAAATAAACCCTCAAAGATTTCTGTTTCCCTCTGCTTTTCATTTTAAGTGCAAATATAATTCATCAATCTGTTATAAATTGAGGAATTGTTGATGTCTACAACTATATACTGAAAACATTGACTTTTTATCTACTGATGACAAATGAACTAAAGTAATTTTCACAGATTTTTATTTGTTGGTATGTAGCCTACTATGGTTGGGAATTAAACAAAAAGATTTTCCCTTAAGTTTTGGTCCTAAAAACTCGAAACATTATCATGAATGAAATAGTAATCTGTAATTTTTGTTTCATATTTTGTTGTTGAATGTTGGTGTTATTTGCTTACCTCTTTGTCAATATCTTCTTTAGCACGATTGGCAGGTTTACAGATAAGCGCAGTACCATCTTGTACTACAGTATTACCCTCTAAGAAACAGCACAGAGGAGTATGTTCATCAGCCTCCAATTCAAACATATTCACTTTGAGCTTACGCATTGTCACGATGTACTTTTCATGTTGTCGACGAGCAAGATCCAGATCAAAGCTGTCTCCACCGGAAATAAATCCATCGCTCTCGACCTTCTTCTTCATACTATCTGGTATTCGACTCACGATGCCAACGTGCAGGTCGAATGGCGCATTTGAAAACGTAGATTTCGAGTTAGCCATTTTAGTTGCAAATAAAACAAAATAAGTGACGTGTGCTTGAGAAAGAATATAACTAAGGATGAATGCACAATACTAGCGATAATCGTGAAACGGTAAGCATTGAGATCGCGTTTCACATCAGCAATGAAGAGAGGTTACTATCTACTCCTGATACCAGCTGTCTACTCACGTAGCGGTGCGCTACAATCCAAACCCCTTTTGACGCACGTTTGAGCAATCCTAATGCGAAAAAAGAACGAAAAGCGTCGGTTTGTCGACTGCAGCATAAATTAAGTTAGCAGTTTGATTTAGAGAGAGAAAACTGCAACACACAACGTAAGTGGCAGGTGTCTAGCATCAAAATGTCTGTCGAATGGTTGACTCGTTTCCATTGAGCGACACCACTGTACAGGCACCGAACGATCTAACGTCGACCGCTACCAGGGAAGCGATGTGTTTATTGAAGAGCGGCGGCATAACACAGTGATCGAGCGAGCGAGCAGGTTGCATTAGCGAAATGAATCTCTTAGAGGACGCACACGATCACATTCATATAACGTTGCACGCGTGTAGTGTGTGTATTCGACTCTGCCTGCTGCAATTATGATTCAGACGCGTAAAAATGATAACACAGATGCATGCCAGGCACATTGTTCATGCGATAGTAATTATGGTCCATAAAAATAAAGTATGCAACGTGAGGTTAACACCAAGGGATGAAACTCTGCTTCTGTTTCAACCATCAGTAGGTAGAAACCCAAGGATATATTTTAAGATGTGAAAGCATCTTTCATATAAACATGGATTGTATTTTCTCCTTCATCACATTGTGATCCAAAAGCAATATATTTCTGACTCTTTTATCATCGGTTCGTCGAGAAAAAAACAACAACAATAACTCATCGCATCGCGATGGTATCTGGAAAGACCCGAGTTACCTCTTTACAAACGAAATTAGCTATGTGTGTATGCTAATGCACTTTAAATAACTCATATTGAGGTGCTTTTTTTTTTTTACAAGATCCTTATGAAAATGATATGGAACGGTGCAAAGGAACGAGCGATAGATTTTTTGTCTTTCAAATTGAAAGAGATAGTTTAGTTTTGTTACAGAGGGCGCTACACAAAATAATTAATTTGTGAGATAATGAAAACGATTAAAATGACAAAATCATCTTTCAGTTTGATCAAAATCGGTTCAAAGACGGCTGAAATTTCCATTAATATAACGATTTCTAATATTTGTGGTACCCCATTCATATTCGATAATTTGAACCAGCCGTTTAAAAACGAGATATCGCCTTAAACGTTTTATTCCAGCCAATACCGATGTTGGCTTTTTATTGGCTTTTTCGTGTGTGTTATAAATACGCACAACCAGCCGGCCTGTATGTTATTATTAATTAATTAATTAATTAATGGTCACCGTATGTTTTGTAAGTGGAGCTGAATTTGTATAATCGTATTGGCTAAATTTCACACATCTTTGGGTCTAAAATTACCTTCATATCAAATTTAGGTTCTAAAAGGGCACTGGAAATGTCATAAATAAGAAAAAGAGCAATATCCATACACTTTGAAGGCATTTGCGGTCTGCAACAAGAACTCAACTATCCATTTTGAAGAGATTGTATCTATAAGAGTATAGAAATAGATATTATTATCCCACATTGGGAAGCACAACATTACGATATTTTCGAGTGGTTTAAGGCGCTTCAGTGACTGGGGATGCGAATGTCGAGGGTTCGAATCCCGACACGGAACTAATATTCTTTGGCAAGATATTAACCTGCACTTGTTACTCTCCATCCAGGTGTTAAATAAATGGTTACCCGGTAGGATGCGACCGTCATTGTTGGTCAAACAGTTTTAGAGCGTCAAGTAACGCCTATAGTACGAATGCTCACCAGGGAGTGGAGGTAGTGCACACAATGTGTGCGGGCAAGTATTGAATCCAACGACCAGGGTAATAGTAGGCCTATATTATGTAAAGCAATTCGAGTCATCGTAGATGTATTAAGCGTTAGAATAAAAAGGAATATTATTATTATTATCGAGCGGGGGGGGGGGGGGGGGGGGGGCGGGGGGTTGCAGCCCTATACTTTACCGTTGATTGGGGGCATATTTTACATAAATGTACTACTTGTAATGCTGAAGAAGGAGCACAATCTACCCATTTTCTCCTCATTTTATCTTTCCCTCTCTCTCTTTTTGTTCGTTGTTAAAGCATGCAATGCGATCAACATTGCATATTAGTACCAACTATTATCTTTTTGATCGCATCTCTTTGTATCTTTTTAAAGGGATCCGGTAACTTTGTCTCCGATCCTGAAATAAAATTCTGGATTTAACTCATGCTGCAATAATAATTATAAACCTTGAGGTTAGTCAGGAACCCCATGACTTTTACAAGCCGATCGCCTGTGTGATTATCAAGATATTTATGATTGGAATTACAAATTTTGAAAACCGTTTGCCAAACAAGATTCAAGATTCAGGTTATATTAGTCTTGTTAAGAAGAACAAAAGCTACCCTAGGGTAAAGGTCTAATCGAGGTAAATATGGCGGGCCAAGCATGCCACTATCCGTACAACTATATAACTATACGTCTTTCCAGCCGAGCAATCAGAACGCAGGAAGCTGTACATCTATACCAGCGGCGGATTTAGGGAGCACAGGGGGCATATGCCCCCCCCCCCCCGGTAAAAAAAAGGGGGGTGAAGGGGAAGGTACAAGGGGAAAAGGGAGAAAATGAGAAAAAGGAGGGGGAAAGAGAAAGGAGGAACAAAAAGAAAGAAAACGGAAGAGAGAAAGAAGAAGAAAAGAGTAATGAAAGAAAAAGGGGAGAAGAGAAAAAGGAGGGGAAGGGAAGAAAGGGGTAAGACGGAGACGAGAAAAGGGGGAAAAGGAGAATAATGAGAAGGGAAAAGAAAGAAAGGGGGTGATATTATAAGAAGGTGTTATTTTTACCGGGAAAGGGGCGGGGAGGGCACGCAATTTTGCAGTGTGCATAATATGGGGTCCCTCTTGCCAGGGGTGTAGCCTCCTCCCCCCCCCCAAAAGCACAAGAAGAACCACAAAAAGGGGGGGGGGGGGAGAGAGGAGAAAGGGATAACAAATAAAGAGATTTAAACAACGAAAGAAGAGAGGTGCAAGAGCATGAGGAATTGCATTTCTTTTAAAAGAAAACGTACCATTAACCTTTAGGAAGATGCTTTTCCTCTAATCTTTGACAGCTTTTCAATGAGTCTTTCTTATGATACAAAATGTGAGTGCCTGTATGAAACATTTATTCTTGTAAACCACATTAATATTTACATGTAATTGCCATATTTAATGAGCTTTCAATACCCCCCCTTACAATATCTGACATCAGTTTTAAATTATAAGCTAATTCATACGGCGGAGTAACGAAATATCGTCCCTCTTTTATTTGTAAAATACGCTTACTGAAATATAAGTCTCGTATATCTTTGTAATAATAACATTACACCTTTGATTCTTCTATGTTTTTGTTTGTTCTTTACGCGTCTTTCGTTCATTGGCTCCGATCTCCTGACATCCAACATTAACGGAATTCCTTTCAAATAATATGTGCGATCATTTAAAGATATATCGTATGAGTGAGAACATGAATCAACTCTCATAGTACTAGGACAATCATAGTAGTGCACGGCAGTATACAGCCTCTTTTCATTTCATTATTTAAAACAAATCGGTAAATCGGTTTGAGTGCTTGGGTTCAATTATCACTAACAAAGGAGAGAGCACCACAGAGATAATAAGTATGATGGCAATGGCGAGATCGACAGTACACAATTATGTCTCACATCTCCGACGACCGACGAACAATTTTGGGCCAGTAGTGCCCATAATATTAGCCTATCCATTGTACAGTACAAACGCGCACCTAATGCGTTCAAACATGATAAAATGGCCAGTAGAGGGCGGCAATCCGTTTTATATTGTAAACGGGTAGCATATCTCGAGAATGATGTGATACGTTCTCTGTTTTGGCCTACAAAGTAAAAACTGGCTCAGACGGACCCTGGTTCGAAACTGAGTCACGTCTTTCGGATGGTCGGCCCCCAACGTAAAAAAATAATCACATATGATCGATACATTTGTCAAAATCCGATTATACACAGAAACACATCTCACAGTACTCACACACAGTATTCGAATTGAGACTGACAACTCGATCTGTAGTGGAACTGTGATGTCTGATAATTTGCATTCGCTTAAAAAATAAATAAAACAAAACAAAAACACACACTAAACAAAATCTCATTTCATTTCAATTCATTTCGTTAAATATTGATTTGTGACAAAACTTCAGTATTTGGTTCAGAATAAATGCCTTGACAAGTTGACACCAGATGCCTCATAAACAGTGGATAGATTCAACTTTGAATATATATATTTGTCTCTCTGACATGCTTTAGCTGGGGAATCAGAAGGTCAATTGCACCATTGAAGCAGAAATATAGCTCCTGATAGGAAAGGGTTGAAGAAATACTAAAAATGATACTTAAGACAACAACAACAAGAACAATAATCATAAAAATAATAACAATAATGAGGATACCGATAATGATAATAATAATAATATTAATAATACTAAAAATAAATATAATATATATAATAACAATAATAATCATAATAATGTTATTAATCATAAAAAGGATTATAACAATAATAATTATAAAAATAGAAAATAAAAATTATAACATTGGTAAATGGTCTCAACTCTGAAATGAAGGGTCCTGACCCAGGTGTATTCAATGGGTAAGAATTGAAGGGCCCACAGGATGAGAACTAATAATACTAATGTAGCTACAAAAGGAGTTGGAAGGTTAAACTTTATTGGTAAGAGTTATACAGACTGTTTCGCCAGAAGGCTTATCAGCAACTAAATACATTATACATGGCAAAGTTAAAAACACTGATGTGCAGTCAGGCACTCAGGCAAGAATACAAAAGAGACACAAATAATTACCCTTCATGAGTGTTACATGAGTGTTTTTAACTTTGCCATGTATAATGTATTTAGTTGCTGATGAGCCTTCTGGTGGAACAGTCTGTATAACTCTTACCAATAAAGTTTAACCTTTCCAACTCCTATATACATTTGCTCCTACAGTTGAGCACTGTCAGAAATTGCAGTTTTACTAAACTTGCTTATATACAATGGGGATATATACGGATATACTGCCCAAGTGCCCATTTATTTATACGTTGCTAATCTGCCTATTTAACCGTATAATGATAACACCAGTAGTGATTTCTATTATGTTTACGGTTATGATTTGTGTAATGTTATTATGTTTCTATACCGTTTTGTACTCATGTTCAACTGTGTGTTGTATTTATTCCTGATTTTGTATAAATTGATAGTACATGTATGTCAAATTGATGTTATATACATTCAATGTATATAACATCAATTTAACATGCATGTACTATCAATTTATACAGATTTGAAGAAACATCCAGAAATTGAATTTTATGCCATGCTATTTGTGCATGATCAATAAATTTGAACATGAACTTGAACTATATATATAATATATAATACATTAATAATAATACTAATACTGCTACTACTACACCTACTACAGGTAATAGAATAACAATAACAATAACTATAATAATAAAAATAAATTGTATCCAATAATAGGCTATCCACCATGCAGCGCCCAAGGTGATCCAATATTACCTTGTTCTAGCTGGGCTATCCATTTCAGTGCTCACATTAACACCAGGGTAAAGATGCAGAATAATGTATTACCAGACTTTACACTATTTTAAACTTTAAAAAAGAAGGAATTAGCTGCCCTATGAATTTTGCTAAAAGTTTTATTGACCTATCTCTACAATTTTTCAACTTTTATTGTAACTTCACAATCACTTTAATCAGGGGAAAATTCAGCAGTAAAGGCATGGGCACTTTTATACAACCCCTGTATCACAAACATCAGATTCCGTCATTAATAACTAAGGAAATGAAAGTTAATCAAATTTTCTGTATAGAGCAAATTAGAGAAGAGCTCGCAATTTGTTTTTCACTGATCATGACAATTTCGAAAAATTCATAACTTTCCTATTTCTAATGGGATGGGATATTGCTACACTTTCAATAATTTGTTATTTTTTGTTTTTATTAAAACCAGCTTGAATTATATCATGCAGGCTAGTTGGGTGGACTTCCCCATAAAAATATTCTATAAGTGTGAATTTGTACCTGTGTACTGGTCAGTAAATTAAGGTGAACCTACCTCTCCTTGCCTTGTGGGATGACCGGGACGGTTGATGAGAGCAATACCGTCATGGCATACAGCAACATCTTCTACAAAACAACAATCTGGAAGACGATCATCGCTGTCAAATTCATGCACATCAATGCCCAAATCTCGAAGGTTGTCGATGTACTTTTTCTGCTGCTCTCGAGCGAGCGCCAGGTCGGGCTTTCCCCCGGACTCGTCCGATCGTAACGCTTGCTCGACAAGGGTGCTTGCTACGCGACGGACAATCGCAAACTTGGCTTGAAATTTCTTCTCAACATCCTTGTCAATTACAGGGAGTTCCTCCATAGTGGCCGCTTGTTGTGAAGAAGTGAGAAAAGATATATAATGTGTGCTGATTATAAATACAACGTAAAACACGGTCGAGTGAGGGAGAGACAAGTTCTTTATTACCGCCCTATTTGTCCGTGCAGGTCTACAATATATATGGTTATCGGTACCGTACATAATGTACATGACTATATATCGCAGGCGTGTATTATCATGTGATGTATATCACGCGCGTAGTACATTGACCGGCCACCTGCACCGGTGCTGATGTGACAACAGTAGGCCTACCTATATCATTATTGTTTGAGTTCTGTGACCATATATATATATATGTGTGTGTGTTTATATGTTTATATATATGTTTACAGATATAAATATAGGAGTTGGAAGGTTAAAATTTATTGGTAAGAGTTATACAGACTGTTTCGCTGGAAGGCTCATCAGTGACTAAATACATTATACATGGCAAAGTTAAAAACACTCATGCAGTCAGGCAAGAATACAAAAGAGACACAAAAATACCCAAGTAAGGGTGAACGCAATAATGTAATAGTGGAATTAAGTGGTTTAAGGATAAGGGGAAAGGTCATGGATATATATATATATATATATATATATATATATATTATGTATTCATATATGTACATTTATATACACTACATCATGCGGGCTTGTCCAACATTAAGGAATTTTTAAAGTATAAAAATACGTAGTTCTGACAGTACATCACATTACTCAATTGAACTCTTGACATTTTGAATATTCATGTTGGGATTGTTACATTATTATTTTATTCTATTCATTTTTATTATTGTTCCACATTTTTACTGAGTGCTGTTAAGCGTATAGGGCCACTTATGATAATGACATAATGATGATATAGTATGTAATTTTCTTTTTCTTGCTTCATTGTCTCCTCCTCCCCCTCTTTTCCAGGCTGGCCCTTACCTTACCAACATTTCTTCATTTATTAGCAAACTCATTTTGTTCTGTCTTGCTCTATTGTACTTATTTTTTTTCTCTCTCTATCTTTCTCTTCTTTTTCTTCCCCATCACCGTTTCTCCTACATATAACTTTCTTCCTTCTCAACTTGTCTCTGTTGTTGTTGTTTTGCTCTGCTTTTCGCTTTCGCTCTCCATATCTTCCCATTTTCTCTTTTTCATATAATACATCAATCTATCTCTTTTGTAAATATTTTCCATGCGTAATTGCTTCTATTTTTTCTTCTTCAAAGAAATTAAAGCATTCAGGTATTATATTCTGTTCGGGGGACCTTGCTCTAACAAGCCCAGCTTCTATAAGGTCTCCTCTTTCTTTCATGTACAGAACATGATCTTACATAAGTAACTTGTTTATAGGATTTCTTTAGTTAATAACAAGATTTGTATATTGAACGTTACTTTTGTGCTTCAAATTATGTTTGTTATATTGATAATCTGCTGTTCCAATTACTTTATTTGAAATTCTATGTACAAATGTTTGTGAAAGAAGAAATAATATGAACTGAACTGAACTGATATTGTATTGCGTTTCGCTATTCATTGTTTTCTAACTTCTCTGTATACAAGGGAGGCTACTTCCTGATATAGGAAACCGTTTCGTTCCGGGAACAAGCCATAAAACTTCAGCCTTTTGTTTGTGTACCCAGGGCATGTGAGTTAAAGTCTCACCTCCCTGGTGTACCGGACTTCGTCAATTTTGTCCGGTCGGATTCCTTTGTTTCTGTTAAAAACATTGACCTTTCTAGTATAGTTAGGACAATATAATACTAAAAAGTGTTTTACCGTCTCTATTTCATTGCATCTATTACAAAAACCAGTGGGATGAATACCTAACCTAATCCTGTGCAATGTGCTAGCACAGTCATCTCACATTCTACTGCTTCATCAATAAATCTGTCATTACCTATGGAGGCTGGCAGTCTTCAATTTCACTGTTGAATCTTCATTCCTCCTGTGCGGTCAGCTTGACCTTTTGAACTTTTATGTCCAAATTCACAAGGGAGTTGCACATTCTGCTACTAGAACAATGGAACCACTTATCTTGCTATTCCTCCTCTTTTTTCTAAGTGGAGGTGTTCCCTGTGGTGATTCATCTAATGTTGAGACTACCACTTTAATTTATGTAAAAACGAGTGAATCATTTGGAAAACATCTTCATCATCAGAAATATTTGTCTCAACGTGTTCCCTATTATTCTAACTCATCATCAACTTTCCAACTGCAATTATTGATATCTGGTGATATCAATCCTAATCCTGGTCCCCAGACTGAAAATGAGCATCGATCAACCTACTTAACTCCTATTTCCTATCACCGTGATGAACTTTTAAAATTAAAATGTACCCCACAGGCTATTTGTTCACAATATGCCTTGCAGCCTTTTGTTATGGATCACATCGAATCTCTGGGAATTGGAACATTTCAGAAACAGTCCAAACGTAGTCGCAGTCACAGGGAAAAAAGGGTGGACGTCGAAGACTGAAACAAATACCCAATCTCCCTGTCGCATCCAATCTCCCGTTCGCATCCACGTCTTCACCCACAGTTAACTTTGCATTATGGAATGCAAGATCCATTAAGAATAAAATTCCAATTTTATCGGAACTTGTTTTAACTCATGAACTTGACATTTTATGTGTCACAGAGACCTGGTTGACAGGTACTTATCGTGATGACCCACCCATTGCCGATCTTATCACAACTCTCCCAAATTATGACATACATCACATCCCACGTATTGGAAGGGAAGGTGGTGGTGTATGTGTGCTTCTTCGTTCTACCTTCAAAATTCACAAAACCGAACTTCAATCATTCAATTCTTTTGAATATATTGATTTAGCTGTATCATCTAACTCTCAAAAACCTCTTCGCCTCATCATTCTTTATCGGCCTCAAACAACAAAAGATAAGCAGCATTTGGCACCGATTTTCTTTCGTGAGTTCGGCACCTTCTTGGAGGATATTGCATCTGTACCTGGTTTACTTCTCATCGCCGGAGACTTCAACTTTCATGTAGATGACTCGACTGATAGGGAGGCTACTATTTTTACAGATCTCATAACCGCCGCTGGACTTACTCAATATGTAACTGGACCCACCCACAAAGATGGACACACTCTTGATCTCATCCTAACTCGAAATACTGATAACTTTGTCTCAAATTTAAATACTACCAGTTATTTGCCGTCTGATCATTCTGCTGTGATATGTAATTTGAATATTGCGCGACCCAAACCAGCAAAAATCAAAATCTCTTTCCGTAAATTTCGCGATATTGATATTAATGTCTTTCGCACTGATATATTAAATTCACCTCTGTATAAATCTCCCGCATCTGAATTGGACAACTTGGTTTGTCAATATGACTCTGTTCTAAATGACCTTAAAGACAAGCACGCACCTTTAATAACTCGCACAATCAGGTGTCGTCCTAACGCACCTTGGTTCAATGAAAAATTACATGAAATGAAACGGATCTTACGACGCCTTGAGCGACGTTGGATTGCTTCTAAATTAGAAGTTGACAGACAAATTTTCAAAAACCAATGTTATGAATATAATCGCATGATCAAACAATCTAAACAAAACCATCATTCAAAACAATTTGAAGGTTGTAATTCAAAGCAGCTATTTCAAAAAGTCAACAAATTGTGCACACCAAAAGTACCCAAGGTGTTACCTTCTGGCGATTCTGATCTTTCACTTGCTGAACGTTTTTCTGACTTTTTTTACAGACAAAATTCGGAGTATCAAAAATGTTCTTAAGGATTCATCAAAAACGGATGTTTCCATATCCATGCTTGATTCATGCAATTCTTCATTTCCTGAATTCTCACCAGTATCAGAAAATACTGTCAGAGTTATAATAATGAAATCTCCATCAACTTCATGTAGTCTCGATCCGATGCCGACATGGCTGCTTAAGAACTGTTTAGATGAGCTTTTACCAGTCATTACCAAAATTATAAACATGTCTATTCAAAGTGGTCAATTTCCTGATGTTTTGAAATCGGCACAAATCACTCCTCTTTTGAAGAAACCAAATTTGGATTGTGAAATTTTGAAAAACTATCGGCCTGTTGCCAACCTTAAGTTTCTTGCTAAAACAATTGAACGTGCTTGTGCTTCTCAAATTCAGGGCTATCTATCATCAAACAATCTGTGTAGTAAAATGCAATCTGCTTATAGATCTTCTCATAGCGTTGAAACTGCTCTTTTACGTGTATATAATGATTTGTTGTTAGCTGTGGACCAAGGTGATGAAGCTGTTTTAATACTTTTAGACTATTCTGCGGCTTTCGATACTATCAGTCATGATGTTTTTCTTGATCGCTTACGTAATAGATATGGTGTATCAGGTACTGCCTTGAATTGGTTTAAAACCTACTTTATGAATCGTTCACAATCTATTGTCATTAATGACTCATTATCCAAACCTCATGTTCCACTTGAAGGTGTTCCTCAGGGATCCGTCATCGGCCCTTTATCATTTACTCTGTACACTGCACCACTTGAAGATATTATTGAAGCGCATGGTTTAGGCCGAATGATATATGCAGATGACACCCAAGTTTATGTTGTTTTGAAACGTGATTCCGACCATTCTGTTATTACTAAACTTGAAAGATGTATAAATGATATCAAAGCTTGGTCCACTGCTAATGATTTGAAGTTAAATGAGGATAAAACCGAGGTTATACATGTAACATCTCGATTCAGAAAGTCCTCCCATTTACCATCTGTCGAAATTGCTAATGTTCCGATACAACCTGTCAAAAGTGCACGTAACCTTGGTGTCATCTTTGAAAATGATCTTAGGATGGATGATTATATAAAAAATATTTGTCGCTCAGCTTCATATGCCTTGTACAAGATAGGTGGTATTAGAAATTTTCTTGATAAAAAATCTACCGAAACGCTTATACATGCATTTATTACATGCCGTATTGATCAATGCAACAGCCTTCTTTATGGCCTTCCGGAGTCGCACATTGCAAAACTCCAGAGAATCCAAAACTCTGCTGCCAGGCTTGTAACACGCACACGTTCTTGTGAACACATCACCCCAGTACTTCGCGAATTGCATTGGTTGCCGGTGACGTACCGCATTATGTACAAAATCTTAGTTTTAACTTATAAATGCATTCATGAATTGGCACCAATTTATCTGCAAGAATTAATCGAGGAATACAAACCCTCACGCAATTTACGGTCATCTTCACAATTAAACCTCGTATCTACTTCTGTGTCAACTCTCTCTTATGGTAATCGCTCCTTTCGCAAAGCTTCTGCTGAACTTTGGAACAAATTACCTTTAAATGTAAAAAACTGTCAAACCATTAACCTATTCAAAACTAGTCTCAAGACACATTTATTCAAAATTGCGTTCGATGATTAATTATCTCTGTTCACTTTGATGTGTATTCCATATGTATTGTTATTTGTAGGTTTATTTGCATTTTTAGTTTTGTATAAGTTGTAATTGTATATCAGTCTATTTTGTGTGTATAGCGCTTAGAGACTTCGGTGGTAAGCGCTTTATAAGTAACGTTTTTATTATTATTATTAAGAAAGATCCTGTTAAAAATCTAAAGACTCCAAAGCGAAGGCGATGGATGATTGTTGCCGCATGTAATCGCCTCTCTATATGAACATAAATATTGTTTGTTAACATCTCAGTATTGAATGTTCTCAAATGAGAGTTTGTGATTATTCCACCTCTTGCCAAAGGAGTTTGGGACTTATCAGTAAGCTTTTCATCTCTAACAAAGTTAGATTACTATTGATTTATATATTTTCTTCAGTAATGCGCGGGCCTTTGCGTGGAAATCCGCCACCTATAAGTCCCTTGGATTCCACAATGCCCAGGAATCCACTCTACGAATATCAACTCCTCTAGGCCTACTCTTTAAATGAGTAGATATGGTGAGAATCTCCAGGATAAAAGTTTTTCATTCTGTTGTTAATGCAAAAGGAGCACTCACTAATATACCCCCCCCCCCCCCACAAACTGTCAAAGATATTAATTTCCCGGCTCTACCGTTATATCAGAGATATATCACACGTTGTTGGCGGGATTAATCGCAACTGATCTCCCCATTCTTTTTTTCTTCTTCCTCTTTTTTTCCTTATCGCTTCTTTTCCTTTTACTTTCCGGCCTAATTCCTTCTCTTTTTTTTTTTGCTGGGGGGGGGGGGGGGGGGGCAATTACTCCTTTCGGCCCTCCCCCATCTCCTTCTTCCCTTTTCTTTTCTTCTTCCTCTCTCTTTCTCTCCTCTTTCCCTTCTTCTCTCTCTCTCTCCCTCTATCTCTCTCTCTCTCTCTCTCTCCCTCGCTCTCTCTCTTTTTAATACAACTCGACATTTTTGTTGTTGTGTTTTGGTTTATTGGCGATTAGTCAGTAATTTGACTATTGTTACCAAAATACTTTACGGCACGTGTTATATCTCTCATTTTTGTATTTTTAAAAAATATATTTATTTCGTTTTAGTCTATATATAGGTCTAGTATCGAAAAATAATATCGTAAGCACTATATAATAATATACTATTTTGTTGTTGTTGTGTTTTTAGTTATTGGCGATTAGTCAGTAATTTGACTATTGTCGCCAAAAATTTTGCTGAATTTACGGTATCCTCGAATAGTCGAATTACATTAGAAATTTAAGTTCCTCTTGAGTCTTGGTTTCGTCGCGTCACGTCAAGACCAACGAACTCAAACCAATTTCGATTTCGATGGTCAAGACTCAAGGAGTGAAATTGATTTCTGATTTACATAGCTAGGTACCGATATATATGTTGGGAAATACAACAGACCAGATCCTGTGAGTAGCTTTTATAGTTGGTATAGTTATAGTTATTTTATTGGAAGGCTAGACTGGAAAAACACTGGATTAGCCTTAGTTCTGACCTAATCACACATTCGTTCAGTCCCACATCCGTATTTTAAGTTAGTTGTTGAACGCAGCACGAACTCTCCGCTCCCGCAATGCTGTGCCTGAGCTGGGCGCCTGTGCTTGGGCGAGGGCGAGGTCGAGGTTTTCCGCGCCGCTGAGGCCCGTTGATTCACAGTGTGATGGGGGGGGGGGGGGGGGGGTGGTAGTTACGCAGTTTATTTGGAAAGGCTGAAGACTGATGTCCTCTAAATTCAGTGTCATTTCTTTGGTAACACTAGAAGTCTACAGTTCTTCTAGTTTTACTAGTTTGGCCTTAATTGGGTTAAGTTGTAGTAGTCTAATAATACTTCTCAGTCTGTCTACCTCATTTACAGTTGAAGATTCTTGCAGACTGATGAGTGTGTGCATGGTGCAATAATCCTGGCTGTGTATTAAAAACTGTTCTATTGATTCTCAACATTTCAAACACCACTGTTACTGTACAAAACTCAACTGAGTTCACTCAAAATCAGTACTTTTTTAGTGATAATTGATGAAACCTCGTCCTCCATAAATAGCAGTAAATACAATCTTTTCAACTTACCGATGTTAGAAAGAATATTTTGAAAATTCAAATCGAGAGTCTACTGTCAAACTTGTCGATCAGCCACTTTTTATTCATTGTATGCATTACTAGTGTGCAATTGTGTGCAGTGTGTGTATTATGTGTAATTGCAGGATCTCAGCACGTAGTACAGCGCTAGAGGTCAATACGCTTTAGCATTGACTCTATGCTTTGCTGGAGTACTCACTAGTACTATAACTATAATTATAAGTACAGTAACAGTTAACACTACTCTACAGTAATGTCTTTTGTTGATCTTGGTTCAGCATATTCCGGAGTCGGCGCAAGTCTGCAGGAATGGGGCTTAGTAACTTATGGGTGATTCCTATGGCATGCACTTTCAGCTTTGCACTGGGCGTGCACTTTTGCTAAAATTTAAAACATTGGCATTGGCGTTGATGCTGTTAATGCAAAGGAAAGACCTATTATTCTTGGTTTGGAGAAAATACGTGTCAGACATAGCAGAAACTCATTAAATTGGACTAGAACTACCTGCACTCCTACAAAAAATACAGTGTCATGAAGGTTTCTGACTATGACCAAGTCACCAAAAAGGGTCCATCATAAGGCTAAGCTACACACTCTGTAAACAATGTGACATGGGCATTTCACGAAACTGCTGCCTGAGCAACGAGAATATCAGTGAGATTTGCCCAAGACTTCTAGTAATATTTGCATTCGTTAATTTCATGCAATTTCTGCCATTTGTATCTTTATTGATCTTTTAAATGTTTACACTGGCATCGAAAACGGCTTGAATTTTTAAAGTTATTTGTCGATAATGATTTTTAACCACAACTCAACTTCAGAAAATATTGGACCAAAATAAAGAGAATAAATTATCCTAAAATCCTTAATTAGATTTAGATGAATTTCATACTTTGAAAACTAAGTGCGTAGTTTATGGTCCTGCATCATACTAGATCGCTTTGGTGACTCTCAGTAAATGATAAATGCTAATTTACATGGCCTCTAATTAGAGGCGAGAGTATTAAATGGAGTTTTATTGTCTTCCTTCTTTGTCTCTCCTCTGTTTAATTATACTTCATGATTATTTTATGTAAGGTTTGTGTTATTGTTGATTTCTTTCAGAGTTTTGTAGTTATGGCCTCACTGTTCACATCAAGATATGCTCTATGGATGATCATCAGGAATACTACAAGAAACTATAATGCATCAACCTGTGGCAATACAGTGCAAGATCTTCCATGGCAAAGATTGTTCTTAGTACAACAAACCTCATCTCTTCACACTTCTGTCCTTCATCATGCAAAGAAAGGTTGTTATTTATTTCTATCTACCATTAGAAATGAAATATATGTCCCTGTCCATGCCACTTCCATTATTGGTACTGGTTCATTTTTTGTTGTTGATGGGAAGTACCTGAATTTCCAGTTAATTATGTGATCAATTAGCTGTTAAAACTTAATAATTTGTTTTCAACATTTTCCACTTGGCCTAGCAAAAACTCTGATGGCATATTAAAATGTGGATGCATTTTCTTTATCAGAATTCTGTCAGAAGGGTTGAGATACAAATTCACCCCTTGCAAGCTAAACATTTGATATATTGCCCTTCCAAATGGTGCTGTTGTTTTTATGCAAGTAATCTCTCTACCCTTGCTGAATTCATTGTGAGATATAACATGCTTATTCCAATGTCAAGTTGATTTAAGCCAGTATAACAGTAAAAGAGTACTTCCTTGAATGGTGATCTAACAATGACAACATCTTCCATTGTCAAGCCTTTGATACTCTCTCTGTCTCTCTCTCCAGGTAAAAAGCACAAACCTAAAGTTGTGGTTGAAATGTCTGTAGATGATGATATACTGGATTTAAATGATGTGAAGGAAAATATGCAGAATGCTATTGATGCATTGAAGAAAGACTACACTAGCACCCTGACCATCAGGACTTCACAAGGTTGGTATACCGGTACACAGTTTCTTCTTTAAAAACAAAAATCTCAGCGGGAATTTGTTTATCTGAGTTTTGTGTGTATGTAATGTGAGTCAGAGTGAAATGGCCTCAAGCATCTAAAGGGAATGGATAGGGAGAACACTCTTAGCAATTTTGCATGTTGAAAATCAATGCATTGACCTTTTTGCTATCCTTGTTAGAATTATTGACCATTGGTTTTTT